CTCACTGCAGCCTCCACCTCCTAGGTTCTAGCAATTCTCCTGCCTCAGCCTCCTGAGTAACAGGGATTACAGGCGCCCGCCACCATGCCCAGCTAATTTTTGTACTTTTAGTAGAGACCAGGTTTCACCATGTTAGTCAGGCTGGTCTCAAACTCCTGACCTCAGGTGATCCACCTGCCTTGGCCTCCCAAAGTGCTGGGAATTACAAGGATGAGCCACTGTGCCTGGCCAGTCTGGACATTTTCTAAGGTTTCTGGTTTCTGTGATTCAATGGTGAGACCACCTTGGTTACAAATTTAGCTTCCTCTTTGCAACTTCCATAGTAAGCTGGGTTAACCAGTGTTCAGCAATTCGGTGACTCCTAGGGCATGGAGATCTGCACGTGTACTGAGTGGGTGCAGCACATACATACAGTGCGTGGCCCCCACGCCTCTGGTGAGATTATAAACCGCTCTTGGAGGAAATCACAGGACCAGATTAAGATTGCTCTGCTGACTGTGGAATGGTTTCCTGAGGCCTCCCTAGCCTCTGGGTTTTCTCAAATCATAAAACCAAGGGATGCTTTTGTGCATTAAAACCAGACTGCCCATAGCCAGGCCCAGCTGGTCCTCCCTGGAGGAACATCTCCGTGCCGCCACAGAACCCCAGCTCTCCAGGCACATCTTACCGTATGCAGCCCGAGGGTGGCTGCCCGTGGAGGTGCCTTCCAAGGCCCCTGACGTCTCCCCTGCCGCCCCGGTGAGCGGGATGGTGCTGTCATCATTAGCCTTGGCACCTGGTAGCTCTTTAAATACTGGGGATTCTGCTTCCTGAACTTTACTGAGACTTTCGTCAGATACGCGTGATAAAGCACCTTCTTTTTGTAATTTGCCTAAAGAAAACAGAGTCATACGGAACATTCTATAAGACAGTTCTTATTATTGAAGCATGAATACTAAAAAGTCAATATATATCTTTATGCTTTAGCACTTACTTTGGAAACCAAAAAAATAAGTTATAGCTAGATAGAGAAAAGAAAGTCGAGGCTGGGCACGGTGGCTCACACCTGTAATCCCAGCACTTTGTGAGGCCGAAGTGGGTGGATAATGACGTCAGGAGTCTGAGACCAGCCTGGCCAATATGGTGAAACCTCGTCTCTACTAAAAATACAAAAATTAGTCAGGCATGCTGGCAGGCGCCTGTAATCCCAGCTACTCAGGAGGCTGAAGCAGGAGAATCACTTGAACCTGGGAGGCGGAGGTTGCAGTGAGCCGAGATTGCTCCACCGCACTCCAGCCTGGGCAACGGAGAGAAACTCTGTCTCAAAAAAAGTAAAGAGAAGTCAAAAGTCCAATTAATTACCTGGAAAACTCTAGCTAGAAAATTCAGCAATTGAGGAAAAGATGGAAGTTTAGGGCCTGAATTATCATATGCAAAAACAACCGAAAAAGGGCTAGATCCAAATACCACAGTTCCTTCCAGTGCTAATGTTCTGTAAATCTACAGCCACCTGGACTGGCCTTCTGTTTGCTTAAACTAACCTCAGAATCAGAAATTTCAATTTCTGAAAAATTTCCTTTTTCATAAAGTCACATAAATAAAATCACAAAATATGCAATCTTTTGAGACTGGCTTCTACTCAGCATAATGCCTTCGAAATTTATCCACGTTGTTACATGGTTCGATAATTTGTTCCCTCTAATTGCTGAGTAGTATTCAAATGTACAAAGGCACCACAGTTTCTTTATTCTGTGGATAATGTAGATTATTTCCAGTTTTGGGTGACTGGAAATAAAGGTGCTATAAACATTCACGTGCAGATTTTTGCGTGAATTTAAGTTTTCATTTTTCTAGGGAAATATCTACGAGTGGTTAAGAGTATATTTATGGCAAGTGTTATCCATATAAGAAGCTGCCAAACAGTTTCCCTGTTCTGTCTGACATTCCCACCAACAATGTATGAGTTCCAGTTGTTCTTCATTCTTCTAAATACTGACAGCATTTAATGCTGTCAGTATTTATTATTACTATTTTTTTTTTAATTTTTAAATGTTTTATTTATTTTTCAGATGGAGTCTCGCTCTGTTGCCCAGGCTGGAGTGCAGTGGAGCGATCTCGGCTCACTGCAACCTTCACCTTCCAGGTTCAAGCAATTCTCCTGCCTCAGTCTCCCGAGTAGCTGGAACTACAAGCATGCGCCACCACGCCCAGCTGATTTTTAAATTTTTACTAGAGATGAGGTTTCACCATTTTGGCCAGGATGGTCTTGATCTCTTGACCTCGTGATCCACCCACCTTGGCCTACCAAAGTGCTGGGATCATAGGTGTGAGCCACCGCGCCCAATCTACTGTCAGTATTTTTTAAAAGCCATTCAAGTAGGTGGTGGCAGTATCTCACTGTCATGTGAATTTGCACTTCCCGATGACTAGTGATGTTGAGCACTTTTTCATGGACTCATTTGCTATTCATCTATCTTCTTTGGTGAAATGTCTATTTAAAGATTTTTATTTTTGAGATGGAGTTCACTCTTTTTGCCCAGGCTGGAGTGCAGGGGCATGATCTCGGTTCATGCAACCTGTCTCCCAGGTTGAAGGGATTCTCCTGACTCAGCCTCTCAAGTAGCTGGGATTACAGGCACCCACCACCATACCCGACCAATTTTGTATTTTTAGTAGAGATGGGGTTTCACCATGTTGGCCAGGCTGGTCTTGAACTCCTGACCTCGTGATTTGCTTGCCCTGGACTCCCAAAGTGCTGGGATTACAGGCCTATTGCAATAGGCCTCTAAGGTGGAGGTTGCAGTGAGCCACTGTGCCAGGCCTATTTTGCTCATTTTTTGACTGAGTTGTTTCCTTTCTAAAATTTCTTTATATATTTTTAATATAAGTCCTTTGTCAGGTATGGGATTTGCAAACATTTTCTCCCATTCTGTTCATAACACATCTCACAGAGCAATAGTTTCAAATTTTGATGAAGTACAACTTACCAACTTGATCTTTTTTTTTTTTTGAGATGGTGTTTCACTCTTGTTGCCCAGGCTGGAGTGCAATGGTACGATCTCAGCTCAATGCAACCTCCACCTCCTGGGTTCAAGTGATTCTCCTGCTTCATCCTGTCGAGTAGCTGGGATTACAGGCGTGCATCAGCACACCCAACTAATTTTGTATCTTTGGTAGAGACAGCTTTCTCCATGTTGGTCAGGCTAGTCTCAAATTCCGACCTCAGGTGATCCGCTCGCCTCAGCCTCTCAAAGTTCTGGGATTACGGGTGTGAGCCACCGTGCCTGGCCTAACTTTTTCTTATATAGCTCATGTTTTTGGTATCATATCTAAACACTTTTCTCAACCCAAGGTCATAAAAGTTTTCCCTTATATTTTTTTCCTAAAAATCTTATTGTTTTTAAATTTTATATTTAGATTTATGATGCACTGTAAGTTAATTTTTAAAGTAACGGTTAGGTGAAGGTTCTTATTTTGGCATATGGATGTCTAGTGTTCCAAAACCATTTGTTGAAAAGACTGTCCTTTCTCCATTGAACTGTTTCTGTACCTTCATCAAAAATCCATTTGCTATATTAGTGTGGGTCTATTTATAGACTCTATTCTTGTTCCATTAATCTATGCGTCTCTCTCTCTTCCCTAATTTCACACTGCCTTGTGCCTTCATAAGAAGTCTTGAACTGGGTGTGGTGGCTCACGCCTGCGATCCCAGCACTTTGGGAGGCAGAGGCGGGTGGATCACCTGAGGTCAGGAGTTCGAGACCAGCCTAGCTAACATGGTGAAACCTCACCTCTACTAAATATATAAAAATTAGCCAGGCATGATGGCACGCTCCTGTAATCCCAGCTATTTGGGAGGCTGAGGCACAAGAATCACTTGAACCTGGGAGGCGGAGGTTGCAGTGGGCTGAGATGGCGCCATTGCACTCCAGCCTGGGCAACAGAGCGAGGCTCCGTCTCAAAATAAAAAAATTAAAAAAAAAAAGTCTTGAAGTCAGGTTAATACAAATCCTCCAACTTTTTGTTTTCCAAAATTATTGCAGCTCATCTAGTTCCTTTGACGTTCTATGTGAACTTTAAAAGTGGCTTGTCTAAATCTATAAAATATCCTGCTGGGATTTCTATTTACATTGTCTGAAGTCTAGAGATGAATCTGAGAAGAACTGGCATCTCCACTATACTGTCTTCCAATTCAGGAGCATGCTTTGTCTCCTCATGTATTTTGGTCTTCTTCAAAACATAAAATCCAGATCCATCCATACTAAAACGTGACCCTATGGTGCACGCTGAGACCAAATGTAAATATCTGTTTTTTTGAGAGCCCTGTAAAAAGCATGTGACTTCAAGGCTTGGAATTCAGATATGTTCCTGGGAATAGGAAAACAGCCCTGGCTGACTTCCTAAGCCATATTCTTCTTCTTTTTAAAAATCGTGTTCCTTTTAATAAAATTGGTTTCATTTTTATTGTTTTGTTTCATTACATGTAACTTATGTTATAATTACTATAATATATTAATACAATTATGATAGTACTATACAGTTTTTGTATAAAAATTGTATTATACCATATATCATTACTGTGGTACTATAATGATACAATTATTATTATAGGTTATACATATATATACATATAACAAAATGCACGCATTTTAAGCACACAGGTGATGACCTGTGGCAAGTGGTCAGACCCTAAAGCCCCTTCGCTGATGAAAATAAAGACATTTCATGTCCCTGATAAGTTCCCGAGCTGCCTTTTCCAACCCCCACCCTTTCTAGGCAATCAGCACTTTCTGTTGCTACAGATGAATTTTCCCTATTCTTAAATTTAATGGAAAGATCCATAAAACTTTTAAATGAAAATGTATGGAAATATTATGAAAAATGCCAGAGTGCAGGATAGGTGCCCTTCTGGATCACAGGCTTCTGCTCGGTATCATGCCTGTGGGATGCCTTAAGCTGTCAGGTCTCCAGCAGTTCATTCTCTACTGCTGCGTGGTGGTCCAGCGCATGCATTTACTCAGTTTGGTTACCCATTTGCCTGTTTGGGCTATTATGATGAAAAGATTTGTATACAAGTCTTTTTATGAACACATGTTTTCATGTCTTTGGATAAATAGCTAGGAATGAAATTACTGGCCCACATGGTAAGTGTAAGGTTAACTTTATAAAGAAACTGTAAACCTAACTTTCGAAGTGGTTGCATCATTTTACATTTCAGCATAAACCTAACAGAGTTCCAATTATTTCACTTCTTCACCCACGTTTGGAATTACTAGAACTTTTTACTCTTAGCCATTCTTGTGGGTGAGAAACAAAACCTCCTTGTGGTGTTAGTTTGCATTTCCATGAAGGCTAATGTTTTCCCACAGGCTGGCAGAACTGAACTGCACGGTTAACTTCCAGTTACTCCTGGCAACTGGGACCTTCCTGCCCACCTGGGTTACAAGTTATCAAGAAAACGTCTGAGCCACAAAGCGCTCAGAAGCCGAGAGACAGAGGATGCGGTATGTTCTGTAATCACCCACACTTCCGTTTCCTCCGTTAGGAAGGATTGTGGCGTGTTACATGTGAGATTTCAGGAATCAGGAGCATTTCTGTAAATCAGAAGAATCAAAAACCCCATACCTGTTATTTTCCTCCGCATCCACGGACACACGAAGAGCCACACAAAAAAGGCGAACAGGAGAGCGACACCAAAGGAAATCAGGGCTATGGCCCACATGGGGAGAACCAGGCCGAGCACTGGGAAGGAAAATGAGAAGTAGTGTTGTTACTGGAAATTTCTGATGGTCAGGCCTCAGAGCAATGTACTTCCCACTCCCCAAATTGAGAATGAATCACCTGGATTTTGTAGTGAATAAAACTCTGAACCAAAAAAACATGCTATACTTTTTGGTGTAGAGCCTATATCTTGTGAATATGTGCTTAAACTAATTAGTAAGCTAATTATTAAAATTTTACCAACTGGGGGCCAGGCATGTAATCTCAGCACTTTGGGAGGCCGAGGTGGGAGGATTACCTGAGGTCAGGAGTTCAAGACCAGCCTGGCCAACATGGTGAAACCCTGTCTTTACTAAAAATATAAAAACCAGCCAGGTGTGGTGGTACGTGTCTGTAGTCCCAGCTATTTGGGAGGCTGAGGCAGGAGAATTGCTTGAAACTGGGAGGCGGAGGTTTCAGTGAGCTGAGATTATACCACTCACTCTAGCCTGGGCAACAGAGCAAGACTCCATCTAAAAAATAAATAAATAATTAAATTAAATTAAATTAAATTTTACTAGCTGGGCACAAACAGCATATTAAGTTGAGATGAAAGCCATTTACATATTATTTCCATATCTAAATGGCTGCATGCGCAAATGTAGCTGAGAAAAGAGTCAGCTGTCTTCCGCCCTGATGCCCATCCCAGCCCAACCCATCTGTGGCAGAAAGCTGCCATCTGGACGCTGCCTGGCTCCTGCCACTGAGGCCTCTCCTAGTTCGCCGGCAGCCAGCAGCCCTACTTTAAACGGACATGGGCCCTGGCCACATACACAGAACTTCTTTGAAATCATTTGAGAAACAAAAGGATTTTTGGTGTTGTTTTATTTTGTTTATTTATTTATTTATTTATTTAAGAGATGAGGCCTTGTGATGTTGCCCAGGCTGGTCTCAAACTCCTATCCTCAAAGGACGTTCCTGCTTTGACCTCCGGAAGTGCTGGGATTACAGGCATGAGCCACCATGCCTGGCCAAAGGAATAAGAATTTTTTAAGGCCGGGCGCGGTGGCTCAAGCCTGTAATCCCAGCACTTTGGGAGGCCGAGGTGGGTGGATCACGAGGTCAAGAGATCGAGACCATCCTGGTCAACATGGTGAAACCCCGTCTCTACTAAAAATACAAAAAAAATTATCTGGGCATGGTGGCATGTGCCTGTAATCCCAGCTACTCAGGAGGCTGAGGCAGGAGAATTGCCTGAACCCAGGAGGTGGAGGTTGCGGTGAGCTGAGATCGCGCCATTGCACTCTAGCCTGGGTAACAAGAGCGAAACTCCGTCTCAAAAAAAAATAAAAATAAAAAAAATTTAAATTTAAAAAAAGAGTTTTTTAAAAGACCACTGACCTTCAAACTTAACTCTTCTTTGAACCATCAACTTATGAAATTACAGTGCAGAGAAACTTTTCATTCAAATCCCATAATGCACACTAACTAGTAACATTAGCCAGTCCGAGGGTGGAAGCGCCCTTTGAGATTGTCGTCTTTTCACAGCAGTGATGTTTTCAGCACTCATCACTGAATTGTATCCATCTGCTGTCAATGGTGACAACAGGCATATTCACACACATTCATATGTGCACAGCTTAAACACTCATGCTCATACATGAACCCACAGGTACATATGCAAGAATACTCGCCACAGCATTATTTGTAATAGTAAGAATTTGTAGAACAACTAATATATGCATCATTATGAGAATGTGAAATAATTATTGTAAACAGTCTTAAGAATTAGGCAGGTCTATATGTACTCATAAGGAAAGAGGCCCCAGATTCAATGAATAACGCAGGCTAGCTGTATGATATACACAAAGTATGACGTAATTTATGTTTGAAAAATAAAGCATCTCCCTTTCTACACTCCTGCCCTGTCTGTGAATCTACAGAAAAAGTTCTGGAAAGATACAGTGGTTTCCAACTTCTTTATGGAGACTTGGGAGATCGGAGTGGGAATTTCACTTTTTATTACACATACTTTTATAGTGATAACTTTAAAATATATACAATAAGATAAAGATCTGGGAGCATTTACTAAAAAAAAGGTAAAAAATATGTAAAAAAGAAAAATAAATAAATATATGTATATAATGCAAATGCACTTTTGTTTGTTAAAAAGATTTAAAGGGGGCCAGGCACGGTGGCTCACGTCTATAATCCCAGCACTTTGGGAGGCTGAGGCGGGTGGATCATGAGGTCAAGAGATCGAGACTATCCTGGTCAACATGGTGAAACCCTGTCTCTACTAAAAATACGATAATTAGCTGGGCCTGGTGGCGCACGCCTGTAGTCCCAGCCACTCGAGAGGCTGAGGCAGGAGAATTGCTTGAACCCAGGAGGCAGAGGTTGCAGTGAGCCGAAATCGCGCCATTGCACTCCAGCCTGGGTAACAAGAGTGAAACTCTGTCTCAAAAAAAAAAAAAAAAAAATCTAAAGGGGTTATTAACTAACACGTTGCTCTAAAATAAATCTGCAGTCTTTGCGACGTTGTTGACCATTTTATACATACAAACCAGCACAAAGTTACTCAGCTGAAGTACTATTAGGTTGGGCAGGGTGGCTCATGGCTATAATCCCAGCACTTTGGGAGGCTGAGGTTGGGGGATCACTTGAAGCCAGGAGTTCAAGACTAGCCTGAGCAACATAACAAGACCCTGTCTTTACAAAATAAAACTAAAAAGATTACTGGGAGTGGTGGTGCATGCCTGTAGTCCCAACTACTTGGGAGGCTGAGGTGGGAGAATCTCTCAGGTCCAGGAGTTTGAGGCTGCAGTGAGCTATGACAGCACCACTGAACTCCAGTGAGGGCAACAGAGTGAGACGCTGCCTCAAAAAAAAAAAAAAATGTACTATTAAACATTTTGGCTGGGTGCGTTGGCTCACACCTGTAATCCCAGCACTTTGGGAGGCCGAGGTGGGCAACTCACCTGAGGTCAGGAGTTTCAGACAAGCCTGGCCAACATGGTGAAATTCTGTCTCTACTAAAAATACAAAAATTAGCTGGGCATGGTGGCTGTGCCTGTAGTCCCAGCTAGTTGGGAGGCTGAAGCAGGAGAATCCCTTGAACCTCAGACGCAGAGTTTGCGGTGAGACAAGATTGTACCACTGTACTCCAGCCTGGGCAACAAAGCCAGACTCTGTCTCAAAAAAAAAAAAAAAAATTAGCTGGGTATGGTGGCGCACACCTGTAATCCCAGCTTCTCAGGAGGCTGAGGCGAAAAAATCGCTTGAACCTAGGAGGCTGAGGTTGCAGTGAGCCAAGATTGTACCACTGCACTCCAGCCTGCGTGACAGGGCCAGAATCATCTCAGGAAAAAAAAAATTTATAATTGTAAGAGGTTGTATTAATAGAATAGGTAGTGAATACTACACATAGTCAGAATTAATGTATGTAAGTATTAAAAACAAAAACCTAGATTCAACTAGCTCAGGGATGGCTAAGGTCACTATGGAAGGACAGGCACTTAACTGCTGGGCTCCCACCCTACTGGCTACATCGGAATACGTGGACTCAGCCCTTCTGTGCACTGCACCCACATCTAGCAGGCCCCATCCAACACAGGCGCTGCCCCTGCACCCAAAGCTGAGAGCCACTTGTGCAACCCCTTGGTTGACTGCACTGGACCGTGTCTGGGGCCAAGCTTCCCAGCATCTGCTGTCCACCTCCATGTCATGGTTCTTACATGTGGCAAACGATTGTGCCAAAGCCCATTCTTGCCAACCCGAATGGTAACTGCTCTTTACCAACCTCAACCTAACAACTGACGCCAAAACCGATCCCACACACAGCTTCAAAGGATGGTTCCTCAGGAGGTTTCCCTGTTTCTTCTGTGGTTTCCCTGATGATAAAATTGCGAATTGTGCTACTTGTGGCTTTGCTGTGCTAAACTGATCGAAGAGAGGCAAACCCCGCAGACCACAGGGAAAGAGAAACAATCTGGAATACATTTTTTTTTTCTGGATACATATTTTAAAAATGAGAGAACATTTTTGCTATCAGGCCATATTTTTACCATCCCCATGCTGAGCAGGGTCCAGAACAGAAGTCAAGAAAGGTGACTTCGTGGGCTCCTTCTAGGACGCCGCCAGGTTCCCAGAAGGGTCATGTAGGATCTCGCCAAAGGGGCGAACCTGAGGTTGGGCACAAGACTTCTCACCCTGTGCTTAGACCCAAGACAGTATCACCTGCCTTTTGTACCTTTGCCCCTATCATTGATGTGCTCTGGGAAATGGCCAGAAAACTCTGAAATCACTTCCAGTCATGAGAAACTGGCAGGGGAAGCAGGAGAGAAACACATCCCCCAGAGGAAGTGATGGGGAGACAGAGTAACATGTCACAGAGGAGGAATAAGAGAGAAGGAACCTGGGAAAATGGGGGAAGCTGTTCACAGTTGGTAAGGAGGGGAGCAGGATGCAGATAGGATCTTACTAAAGTATTCCAGCGCTTTGTTGATTTAGCAGAGAATCAGACGAGCACGAGAATTTACTTTTAAAGCCTGCATGTGAAAAAGTAAACCAACAGTTTTCTGTGCTACAAATCTCCAAATCCAGTTGTAAAATCCAGTTTCATGGATAAAAATTCAATACAAAGATTCAGGCTGGGTGCGGTGGCTCATGCCTGTAACTCTAGCACTTTGGGAGGCTGAGCCAGGTGGATCATGAGGTCAGGAGCTTGAGACCAGCCCGGCCAACATAGTGAAACCCCATGTCTACTAAAAATACCAAAAAAAAATTAGCCAGGCGTGGTGGTGTGTGTCTGTAATCCCAGCTACTCCGGAGGCTGAGGCAGGAGAATCATGTGAACCTGGGAGGTGGAGGTTTCAGTGAGCTGAGATTGCAACACGGCACTCCAGCCTGGGCAACAAGAGAGAGACTCCGTCTCAAAAAATAAAATAAAAAAATAAAAACAAACAAAAAACAAGATTCGGCAAAGGATAGCACCTGAATCAATGCACACCCAAGGCAAAATGGTTTTTCTCCTAAAAACT